CTACCATTTGAAGTATTGATGAGAATTTGAACACAAAAAGACAATTTCATCCTCATCACATGTGCAAAGTCTCAAGGTTCTCTACTGCAAAGGGGTAAAATTGGAAAAGATGTGTAAATGGGTTGTCCCTCAACTGCAAAGGTGTCAGATTTTGTCCATTAAGAAATGAAACAACGGTCCATTTTTTGATTTTTCAACGGTTGAAATTTTGATACCTAACGCCACCAGACACGCCCTCTAAATGTTGGTGGGACCCTCCCTCTAAATAAATTAAAACTGATATCTTATATGGAAAATTAAAAATGAGATCTAAATATTGTAGTCTAAGTATTGCAACATTTTGGATGATCTAATCTGAAATTTTATTTGGATGATCTTACCATCTTTTGTCACGTATAAACTTGCGATTATCTATGATGAAATGACGATACTTTGTCACACTAGACATTACTAGAGAAATTAGGTCCATTGTACGAAGTGTGCTCCACTAACATGGGAGACCACCCGTTATGAATGCATATCATATGCAATAAAAGAAAATAAAAAAAAATTCAAAACCTTGAAATTATCACTCAACTTTGAAAAGCCTACTTATCTTGATTGTCAAAGTTTATTACATCTAGGCGCCACATCAGTGTCGAGAGATAGTTCTCGAAGAAATTTGATTAATTAGCCCTTGTGCCTCGTATGCTCTCATGACCCAAGCCATCAATTCATATTCCATGGTCTTATTGTCGTTGGTTATTGTTGATAAAGGTGTGTCGATGATTATTGTAAGCCTCGAATTCTAGGAGCTCTGATAATTCTTAATAGATAACACTCTTGATTAACAATTTATCATTGTCAAAGTGAGTATAAATGCCTAAAATAAAGTTGTAGGAAACAGTTTGTAGCAGACTAAACTTACATATATCAGTCAAATTTACACAGCTTTGCATCTTTAAGGCCTTATTGTTTAACATCCGTCGTTATTTCTGTTACTTTGTTGAATTTCCTTCCCTAACTCGGGCTGCTTTTCAAGAAGTTGGGATGGCCATGTGTCGGCTGGTGTAGGATATCGAGCGTGTGGTTTGCTAGGCTTCGATGCAAGTTGAGTAGTACTGGGTTCCACATATGCTTGCATATTTGAGCAGATGGGGACTAGATATAATGGATTTACAGTTTGTACTTGCTGCTGTCCAGGTTGAATGGAAGGAAATCTGGGATGATCATTACTTGTATCTGATGCAACTTCTTGGAGATTACATTCAGGAGGGACCATGTTCAGGTCGAGTTGTGACTCAGAAACACGTGCCTTCAGCTCACTCTGCAAGTTCCCGATTTGAGCCTCTAAAGCAGAATTTTCATCTTGCAGCTCCTTCTTCTCCATAGTAATCTAACATAAAGAAATTATAGGTTAAAGGAAAGAGATGGTCAAGTAATGAGTAATTCTTGTTAAATGTGTGTGAAGTTAAAGATCTTTTCATAAAAGGTTTGGCTACAGCACCTGAATGCCAATGGACTTACGTATTGAGATTCAGACAATAAAGCAGCATTTTCCCTTTTCAGAGACTTGATCTGAACTAGTGTTTCGGTCACCACTCGACTGGCTTCATTCACTAAAAAGGCCTTACCATTGTTCTGATCTGATAGTTCTGCAAGACCACAAAGTCATTGAAGACATCAAGTTTCACGTCAGCTATCGGGAATACTGGCTTATAGGATGATATGCAATTTTTCTACTTCGGATGTGGAAGGGAAAACTAATAATTATTATTATTGCTAGAACTAATTACCTAAAGAGTTAGCCAAAGCAAGAAAGAGGTCATTCAAATGTTCACGTTTCATTTTCTCTCTCTCAGCCTTGTGGATTTTTTTAGGAACTTGCCCTTGCTTTTTCTTGCTAGAATGCACACTGTCAACAGAGAGATTTAGTCTCAGCAATAAAACAAAATGAAAAAAAAAAAATGCTTACACATCAAAAAGTATCATAAGAGTGTTCTCCCATTTGAAAATAAATGAATTGAATGAACAAAATGATTTACGAAATCATCCAAACTATATCAACCCTCCAAATGAATAACATCAATCTACCATGTAGGTCATGCAAAAAAATCAGTACCAGGTATGAAATGGTTGGAAGATATTTTCTTGTCCAGATGAAATGACTCTTGGAAATTTATTATAATGCAAGAAGTTTCAGAGGAAGAACTATGTGGTGATGAATAATCATTTTTCAGTTCCCCAAGTGGCTGTGTCAGAGCCAACACTGCACCAGTCTGATAAAGAAATAGAGCAAATGAAGAAATCGTGTAAAAGCGAACAGCTGAAATCCCATAATTTTAGGTACAAGCAATTTGTTATTTAAAGAAACTGCAAAACTAAGAGTGCCTTCATAAGACTCATAACCATACACAGAAGAACAAAATATGACAATGGCCATCAATCGCTATAACTACAACAAATTCTATATAACCAAAATAATGGGTTCTGACAAGTACAAAAACTTCTAACATTCACTGAGAATCTATTTGAATGATGGATGTACTCAAACAAAAAACTTTGTTGAATCCTTGTAAGATATGGGATGGAGAACAAGAAACCTGCTAAAGATATTACACAGTACTTGACTCAACATTTTCTTGTACTTCTGTTACTATATATTTATTTCATTCATCAGGATTTGATGGGTTTATTTGCTTTCAAGCATTGAAATTGAGGCTTCCCATAAAAAAAAAATTATTATTATTATTTTTTGAAAAAATAGAAGTTGCTTATAATAGTGAAAGTGTCTCTAAGTAGGCTGCCTAAGAGTTAATGCATGATTTTGAATTCTTTTTGCACAAAAATTAAGATTGCTAAGGTACATACAACCACATATTGATATCACCAGAGATGATATGCAACTCTTTTGTTGTAATGTAATCAAGGGTCTCCCTAGTGCGTCCTTGAGTTTCTATTTTAAGAGGTTTGCTTTCGTTCTGGTATTACAAGAGAACCCGTAGCTAGCATTGAATTCTCTCCTCTCTTATAACTCGAATCAGGAATCATACAAGTTCTTATTAAAAGAATTTGTAGATTTAAGCAGAAATAGAAAGAAGAGTTCAATGATTATGTGCAATGTAAAAACCCACAAAGAGCACCATATTTGCAGATGTTTCAAAAACCTCAGAAGCTCGCTTTATTGTGCTGTTGTTTGAGCTAAATTATATTTATACCTCACCAGAATAATTTGGGAGACAGTATCCCAATAAAATGTCCATGAAAATGTAGAGAAATTAAACCAAAAACAGTTTTAACACTTTGATGTCACTTGATGAGGATCTCTTATTATACACGAGTGTCATAACATTTTTATCATTCAGAAGTTGGAGAACCAATACAGTAAGGGTCTACAGTTTTATTCTAGAGAACCCCTTCCCTCTTTGCCTTCACATTGCTATTTCTTTCATTTTTTTAAATTTTGCGGATCCAGAATTGCCTTTTTAAAAACGATATCACAGATATACTCTTAGAGATCACTAAAACACATAATAAGCAGTGATCTAATTCATGGAAAAAGATACTAAAAGAATTAGACAGATACTTCACAAATATATACTCTGTATCTTCCACTTTCAACAAGTATAGAACAATTACTTTGGTAGATATAATAGATGTCATGCCTTGCTAATAATATTTATTTATTTGGGATTTTAATGTTCCTTTCATACACATATTTGGCATAGGTTTGACCGATCACTTTGCACTGTCATTTTGGATTAAGTTCTCTCTCTTTTCCCATGATTTGGACAAATCTTTCTTTTTAGGATTTTCCAGTTATCTATGTAGTATAAGGAATTCTCATCTATACAAAATTCCAACGACGTCTTCATCATAAACCATCCTAAACAAGACGTAATTTCCTTAGTTCGGTTTTTTTCTGGTCTCCACATTTCTGAGGTAGAAAACTAATATCAATAAAAAAGGAATATGGTCTAAAAGTGTTTCAATAAATGGCATTCCCGTGCCTGAAAACAGAGAGAAGGGTGTTAAAGTACTGACCAACTTGGTGATTTCTCCATTGCCATGCCAGACTTAGCTACAGGAGCAATCCCTGAACTCATTTGCAATTCGCTACCACCTTGCGCCCTGTGAAAAATGACACGTCTCAAACCAAATTTTTTTGGCAATTAACAAACCATTCCTTCAAATTATAATAGTGGTGCTGGAAAGAATTTAATGCAGAAACAAATATCCATGTTATAAAATAAAAATATTAGCTTGAGCATTTTATGTCTTTAACACACAGCGACACAAGCAAGCTAAATCCATTTCTTCATCAAAAGCTTTATACTATTTTGAACCACCTCATCTACGTAGCTTGAGCATTTACAGATATGACAAACTTTGACTTATATCTTCAGCAAAATCCACGTCTAAAAGAGACAAACTTGTTTATTTAAATTTTATCTTTCAACCAAAACAGACATCCAAAAAAGGTGCTGTTGTAACATCAAACATAAGAACTACGAGTTATTGACTTGCTATCCATACCCTCGTTCCTCTCTCCCATCTGCCCAACCAAAATCCGAAGAATTGATAATTTTCAATCTCAAAACTGATTTTGAGGTTGAGAGAGTAGTACATGGAGCTATATTACAAAAAGGGCCCAAAGATTAATTTCTAATTAATGAAAATTAAAACGAAAAATCAAGAAAAAGAAAAAGGGATCCATTGATTGATTGATGCTGTTCCTTCAACAAAAATCAAACCTTTTTGCTCATATGTCATATCAAATCACAAAAACTCTGTTTTCTTTTTAACTTTCCATTTTTGAATCAAAATTCCATCCATAGAGAACCCCACATGATAATTCATACAAATAAACACTTTATAATTGAACAAAAACTAAAAAGAAGAAAATATCGCCAAGAGATATTTCAAGAAAATTTATGTTATTTCTTACATATTAGAAAGAGGAGAAGAGAGAAGAGGAGTCTGTGTGTTTGGCAAAATCCGGATTCTGAGAATTCTTTGTTGGATTAAGATTTGAGAGGGACGATGTAATGTAAAGAGGGGCGTGTGGCCAACAACCTACGAGTAGAAAACACCCGGTCGTTTCGATGCCACGCAGGCTGTGTTTCTCGTTGTTTAGCACAAGCACCCACGCTCAGCCTTCACTTCTCCACGCGCCGGCTCAATTTCCTTATTCTACCAATTAAATCCGAATTTGATTTTAGAAAATGAATTTGAATTTATTCATAGGAAAATTTCATGCTACTTATAAGAGATTGAAACATCTTGTCGCAATATGAACCATGCCACAAGTACAGAAAACTTTTTCAGATTTTTCACAGATAAACACATGACAAAATTTCATTGATTTTTGTCAAAACAAACAAAAAAATGCACTGTACAAGTACTGATATCTGTATGTTGCCTATGAGCACGGAATAGTTCAAAATACACACAAAATGTGTATATGCATGGAGGAAAATAAAAAAGGGACAAGAATGTCATAACGATTAGATTTGAAGTTACGCTAAAGACTAACATGTTGATTTCGATAAAAAACAAATTTTTCTAAATTCAAATGAAAGTTAATGATGGTGGATTTAAGAAAATATGCTGTTAAAATTAATTATTTAATTTGATTTATATTTTAATCTAATTTTTTAGTTGAACTAAACCAAGATTTTAAAGTGGAGAGTACTTATGAAACTAATCACATTGACATTAACAATTTCAGTGATTCAAAATTCTTATATTTGCTAAATGTATTCGCACCTCGTTGTAATTGTATGAAATGTTCATAATAATAATTATTATCAATATTTTATTAATTAAAACATCTTATTCGCGATAACGAAAATTACCCAAAAATTTCGTTAAGAGAATGTAAAAAGACATTTATATATCATAGTTCTAAATAAGTTAATAATAATAATAATAATAAATACAAAATTTGGAGTAAAATTTTTTTGTTCGTTTGAAAACGCGCTAACAACCTTTTAAATAAAAACAATTTTCTATCTCTGTTTATCCATGAGTTATCTATTGACATCTTAGATGATATCCCTCTATCTTTAGAAAATCTAACAATTGATTGAATCAATGTACAAAAAATTGTCAATTCACGTGATGTCAAGCTTCATGTATATGTAGCAATACTCGTTTATCCATACACACTGGATTTATATGATTAAATCTTCAATTTTTCACTTATAATGCATGAATTCACAATACTACTATACTAGGAAGATGACGTCTTATCCAAAATAGAAAATAATTAAATATAAAATAAGTTATTAATGCGGACACATTATTCTTATCTTAATTGACGATGACAAATAAAAAATTACAATCCCTTTTGAATGCTCAATAATTTATTATCATACAAGCTATGATTACGTTGTTACAAACTATTCGATTATGCGTTCTCAAAGTAATACATAATAATTAAATTTTCTTAATAAAACTATGAAATATAATATTATTACCAACTTCTCTTATCAAGAAACAGGTTAAATGGGATTATAGTATAAGATAATATTAATTATTTATTTATTTCCTATTTTATATGTCACAAATATTTTCAAAAGCTAGTCCAACTGTACTGAAGCATTTAAATAAAATAAAACTATGTATATGGACATGACAATATATAATAACATTTTTGGTTTAGCTATGAGATTCATATTGTTCCTAATGGAAACCTGAAGATAAAACTCGAGGAAGAAAAGGGAATCCCACTTGGTCATCGACTAAGAGATCCCAGGATCTTCCCAAGGATCCGGTAAAAGACGAAACTATAAGCTTTTGAACAGACAAGTTGGAACTTGCTAATCTTCATTCTTCCATTCAGTGCACGAGCCAGCAAATCATACTCCACATACCAGAGCTCCGAGACTGTAGCCTAACATAAGCAACATGAAAGATGAAAAAGATACACATCTTAAACACATTCCCTGAATGTGAATGAGATAAAAATTTAAAATTGAACTTGAAACCAGGGAAACTCAGCAACAATATTATCATAAAGAAAATTATTTTCAGATTAAAGATCGAAGAGACGTCTTGGTTTGAGACTCTAGTCCAACTTGATAATAAACAGGTTTGTAACTAATAACTTTATGCTGTAGATCATGTCCAACAAAATTCGAAAACAATAACCAGAAACGAAACAGCGAACAGGAATGCCAAAAGAGATGGTGACACCAGAAGAAAAGGAAGAAAGATCTAGAATTCTAGATATCAAGTAATCAGATTTAGTATGACCGTGTCAGGTCCTACAATATCACCAACATCTACTTTGTTAAAATAGAGATCTAAGTACAATGATTCCATGATAAGGGATTTAACTGTTTACTAGAATGAAATGCATTGTAGAAATTCCAAATAGAAAACTACCTGATGTCCATGAATTTTATTATTCGGTATCCTAAAAAGCTCGTGAAAATTTGGAGTGCTGAACTATTATTTCCCTCCTATATAAAAACAGAATGAAAAACAATTAGCAACGATGGATTAATAAATTGAAACAGAAAAAGAAAATCGAAGTTTTATGTTATCAAAGGGAATCATCCACATCAACTTCGGTCACTTGGTTGGCAATCAAGGAAATGAAGAATTGCAACAACCAAGTATGTGCATGGTTTTCATACAACAATCAAATCATGTATAACATGAGTCATCTCAATTGGCCATTTGGGTACAGGCGTAAATGAGAAATACAGGACAAGCTACTAATACACGTGAGTGTAATGTATCTAATATGAGGCGAGATGTCTCCTGACACAGATCACACACTACTCAAATCTATACCTCAGACAACTTGTTAGGGACCCAGAAGCATAGCAAATGAAGTGAGGAGCATTGCCTTATCATACTTTAGCAGAAAACCACTGCAAGATTAGAAGATATTGCACCAAAAAAACTCGTGGAAATTGTTGAAAATAGCGACTCCATTAACTTTTATCGAGGAAACTAACATGTAATGCTACCCATCTAATCGTGGCCAATCCAGATTTTAGATATGGATATTCAGATTTCCACAATGAACTGAATAACATTGATTTCCACTTTTAGCCCCCGTTTGGCCCCCTTTATCTCTCTTTAATTTAATTTTTAACCAGTTTTCAACCCAACCTTTTTGACAATAATGGTGGCACACGTCTACACCATATCTAATCACTTGGCAGAGGATATCAATATCCAAGGGACCATTGGAAAATGTAAGGGCATTGCCACCCTCCCTAACAAATTACAAAATTACCCCCAATGCATAGCCCCCGTTTTGGCACCTAATGTTTTTAGGGGTATTATGGTCTTTTAGTCCTCTATTGTAAAAATTTCCATCGATTATTATTGACCACCAATTCCGCACATCACCTACAATGTCAGTTGGAATGGACACATGGGCCCCGCTGGATTTGGCAAATAATGAATTTAATGGAATTTAAAGGGGGCCAAACGGGGGCTTAGGCTTGGTGACACAGGCTTTTAGACTTCAAGATGTAATCTTAGGGATGAAGGGTAAAAGAAGCCCAAATGCTATCAAATAGAAGTCAAAGTCTAAGGACAGAATCTTATTAATGTCATTATAAGCCTGCAAATTATATTTAAAAGCTCTTAAACCTTCCAGTCCTAGTCAGATTAGAATTCTAAAACTCTACTAGTATTAATGAATGTCACAGTTAAAAGTAATTTCAATATTAACTTGATAATATTTACATGATATCTCATAAAAAAGCAAGGAACTGATAAAAAAATAACTGAAAATGAACAGATTACTGTTGGGAATTACAGAACTGTGTGTACAGTCACTGATAATATCTTAATTGTAAATTACTAAATTTGTCCAACAGTACTTGGTAGAGCATTATAAAATTCGATATGTGAGTTATTAGTCATTGAGACACATTGATGGAAGCATAATGATGACATTCATATAGCTGGAAATACAAAATTAATTAATACCATAACAAAAGGGAACCAGTCTTTTTGGTGACCAAATTTCCATTTCCCAAAACTACTTCATTTACTTGACAAGGAATATTGTTAGCGTGAATGGGAGAGAAATAAGAGAAAAGAGGTCCGTGTGGTCCTTACAAGTTGCCTTTCTGGAGAATTGTTACTGGATCTGTACCAAAGACCATCAACGCAGGATAATAGAGGGCAAAAATTATCAGTATAAGAGATTCGATTATCATTCAGGCACTCACAATTCAAAAATCTGAACACATTTCCAATGGGCTAAATAGCTATTATATAAGCAGCATAATCTACTGGAGCAAACAATCGAACTAGAAAGAGATATATTCCCAGCTAACCTCGATTACTACTATTAGATCAACATTTGAATTTCTACTTAATCAAAGGTAATTTTTAAGAGTAAAAGCTTTCTGAAGGACAGGTTTATGATGAGAAAAGCAACAAGTAGGTCATGAAAGAAGTCAAATAAAGCTATTAAAAGGTACTAATTCAAATGTTATGCTGGTATAGTTAAAAGATTTGCTCTCTAATGTGTGCTCATCATTTCTTGTCATTGATAATTAAACAAATTAACGGCCATCAAATGCTCGATATCTTGTAAATTAAATGTCCAAAACAAATAAGCATCGCCTATATAATGTGTAAATTGAAATAAGAATCCAACTGAATTATGGAGAGAAAATTGGACTTGTACGCATAGATCCACCTAGCTGACCCCATCCTCCTATAACTCATATCTAAAAAAACTTTTTAGTTTATATTTTGCTTGTAAAGTAGGCAAAGAAACAGAAGATCTCTGAGCCACAGAACCTCTTAAGTCCCAATATGGTATGAACAGTTTACATTGGGAAGTGCAGGACGGCTGATACAGTTGAGAGAGGTTAAAGACATAACCTGCCAACAACCTAGTAGCACGCCAGTTGAAGTCAAAACCAGCTGATCTAGGATAATATGTAGTGGGCAGATATCATTTGCTACAGCTTTTACAGCACTAACCTCAACTTCAATCTGGGAGTCAAGAGAGTTATAAATAGAGCTGTGTTTTGGTAAGAGTAAAAGAAGAAAACTCGAAGATTTGGGCCAACGGTATGATTACCCCCTCTTCTGCGGCAGCCACAGGAGCTATGTAATGTGAGGCATGGAACATGCTAAAATGGTACGTGCTAGAGTTCTGAAACCAGATTACTAAGCAAGGAACAAATAACCACCCAAATAACAGAAAAAGATGCAAAAACAAAGCATTTCTTTTCATGCGCATAGTTAAGGTTTTATCGCTTTAGAAAAAGCTTCTGAGAACACTGGTGTAGCTCAAGGTCAAAACACCAAAGAGAAGAAAACATTGATGTCAAGTGGTAGGTATGAAGCATTTATTTGTTTACCTTTTTTTTAAGTGTAACGTTTTCCTACATATAAGGTGACTCTAACGCCATCAAAAAAGTCCAGAGATCTTGAATACCTCTCCCCTGATGCCAACATTGGTTTTGAGATGAATACTTTAATGATAGCATGCATCAGAGTTAATTATGTGAATGTCGACTTCAACCCATTTTCATGTTTATCTCCTAGGTTTGTGTAATTATTGCAACTTATTCTGATTTATGCCACAACCATTTACATTTCTTGGTCATGCCAAAGTGCACTTTGTTTGATAATAAATATTTCCACAGGCCAGGGCTGTATGCATCAGGAAGTATTAGAGCTTGTCCCTATCTAGTTTGTGAGCCTGGAATTACGCTGCTCAGTAGGAAATAAGTTTTGAGATCCCATTTCATCGACAAATTTCTCAGCAGTCACCTCAGGGCTTAAGGTTTTTAGTAAACCACGACTTCAAGTTCTCCCAACAGACATATTCAAACAATAGAATTATACTCTTAAAATCCAAAACCTTAATTAGGGATAACCTAGATTAAAAAATTCCTTTACATATTCAGCTTCCATTTGCACAACCAACCACCTTCATCTGTTACAGAACAAGCATTCTAATAGAGAAAAAAACAATTGCTCACCCTTTTATCATCTGTCACCCTAAACTAACGAAATATGCCACGTGGCGGTGGAAATCCCACGTGGCACATCACACGTGAAATCAGGCCAAATGGGCAAAAGTGCAAAAAGCCACTCGCCACTTTCCTTCACCTTCATCTTCTCCCTCCATTTCTGGACTCTAAATACATGTTCGACATTAATCGGTGTAGCAGAGCCTAGTCCGTGATGTTCGTGCACATTAATCAGTACAGCGGATTTGGGGCGATTTTTAAGGTTCTTTATAGATTTGGAGGCGAATTTGGATGGCGATTTTAAGGGTTCTTTAGGGATTTGAGGGGAATTTTGATCTTGTGTGAACCATATTCTAAAACGCTTCTTGCCATTGGGCTTTGAAGACAGAGATACGGATGTGGAGTTGGGGGTAGTGGAAATTTGGACCGTTCCACCGACTTCAAAGGAAAATATTTATATAACCAAACAAACCGTTAACTCAAATTAGCATAAACTTAATAAATCCGTTCACAATTCACTGCAAGCCCAAACAGTCAACTCAAATTAACATAAATTTACGAAATCCGTTCACAATTCAATGCAAACCCAACAATAACGAACTAAAAAAGACGGAAATCAATAAAATAAAACTGATAATTACCTGAAACAGTAGTGGATTGATGAAAATTAGAGTTACAGAGAGCCATTTGAAAGAGACAGAAAAAAGTAACTGCGCAGATGAACCAGATAGCGGTAACTTTTACAGAGCAAGACCACCAGTTTTTATTAA